ATATATATATATATATATATATATATATATATATATATATATATATATATATATATATATATATATATATATATATATATATATATATATATATATATATATATATATATATATATATATATTCAAATACGTTCACCCGGATAATTTGATGAGGGCACATCCAAGAGTTTGTATTTTACTTTAGTCCCTGTAACTCATATTTGACCCTTTCATGTAGCTAAGTCAGGTTTTCATAGGAGTGCTCAATTAAAACCTCTGACAGCCTTCTGAAGGAAGACCATGCAGCAGGTGTATGTTGTGGGTTTTTTTTTTCTTTCTTTTTTTTTTCGTTTGTGTAGTTCAGAAACCTCTTTGTGCTGTATGGTTCTGATTGTTCACTGTATTCAGTGATCCTTTCTTTCAGTGTGTTTCAAGGGATAGTTTAGCTTTCGGGGAAATGTGCCACTGTGAGGTTGTGACAAAGACATGTTCGTCTCTAGCATTAGTCACACATCTGAATGCATGCCATACATATGCAACCCCGCCACCAACCCCCACTTAAAGACACTATATTGTAAGTTCTTTACATCTTTAATGGCAACTGCCCCAAGTTAACATTCTGGAACTACTGATTCATTCATGATGTCTTGATAATGTTTTAGCCACCTCACTGGTGGCCTTTTGAGATATCTAGTCTGTTCACAAAAGAAAGCTTTCAAGAATGATGATCACGCCTTCCCTCCCAATTACTCACCGTCTAGTGCTGATTGTTGCAGTGTGTGGTCCTGAAGTCGTACTTTCATGCAACTGTTTTCGGTTTTCCATGAAACTGTTTTAATTCAAATTGTCAGTGAGATGGAACATTGGCATTTGGTCATTGGAAAATGCATTTTTACCCACTTGTCTGTGATAATGGTGGATGTCACACCAAGGACTTGTATGATCAATGTGCCCCCCCACCCCCCCTTCTGTTACGCAGTCAAGTTCAGCTTGCAGTGGAAAGGCTGCTGTGTTACATGGAAATGGGTCTCAGCCTGAATCACAGAAATATTCCAAGCATCAGAGTCTGCAGGGAACATATGAGAAAGTCAAGGTATGCACGCTGATGAGTGATAAACATTTGCAGTGAACATAAAAGCAACAAATGACCATGATGAAGCTTAAGCCTCTGATTTAAATGTGCTGTCGGAGAGCAAATGACTCAAGATAATAAGTTGTGCATAATGACTATAATCTTTAATGGAACTTAAAAGGTCAAACACAATTTGTCCTGGGACAACGGTCTCTGATTTGCCAGTATTTTTGAAAAAAAATAAAAATAAATAAATAAATAAAATCCTATTGGAAATGATCTTTTTCAGGGTTCGACTGTGGCCATTCTAAAACTTTTATTGATTGTGCCAACAATGTTTCAAGTAACATTTGACCATTCTTAACTGTTACGCTACGTTGACAACAACGACCCCCACTTTTTTTCACATGCCTTCAAATTGAAAGCTTTGAAGTTATTTTCTTGTTAAAGCTCAATTAAATGTCTTGCATGTTTTTGGATGTCAGTCTTATTGAATAAGTGTGGACCATGCAATAAACATGGCCGCAATCAATTCTTGGATTGCTGAGCTGAGGTCTCTGACCATAATGCTGACATCTCACATGAAGTCACGTATCATGGCTAAGTTTTATGCGAGTTAAGCTATACAAAAAAAAGTGTGCTTTTGCTGAAAGCTACGCTACCGTATATCCCACTTTTAATGGTGATTGCTTGAAGCTGTTGTCTTAGCACACGAGCTATACATGTCCATTGAAATATATTTTAGAAAGGGTATGGGCAAAATGAAGACACAAAATCACCATTGGCCAAATAAAGTTACAGTTTATGACGCCACTGTCTCTCCATTTCAAATCATCTGGCTTCTACATTGGCCACAAAAGTCAAGAAAGGAGGCTAAGTGCCAAAAAAATGTCAAATGTTCAGAGAGCATCACCTCACAAAGCACCGAAAGTGTGCTCTTTCATGTCTTGCGCAGTTGTCATTTCCTGGCCCGTCATTGGAACGGTTTTAAATATGCACCTGTGCGCTTGTGGTTGTGCTGATCATTAAATAAGGTGTGGTGACATTGTCGGCACGCTCCTCATGTTGGTTTTGTGTGTTGTTATTTGAAGGTCATGATTATTTGTTCGGCCGCATGGTGATCGACTGGGTTAGTACGCTTGCTTCACAGTGCAGCGGTCCTGGATTCGATTCCGGGCACCCCGACCATCCTATGTGGAGTTTGCTGGTTCTACCCGTGCCTGCGTGGTCTTTCTCCGGATACTGCGGTTTCCTCCCACCTTCCAAAAACGTTAGGTTAATTGATCACTCTGAATTATCCTTAAGTATGATTGCGAGTATGACTGGTTGTTCGTCTCTGTGTGCCCTGCGCTTGGCTGGCAACCAGATCAGGGTTTACCCCCGCCTACTGCCCAAAGACAGCTGGGATAGGCTCCGGCTCGCCTGCGACCCTTGTGAAGATGTGCGGCTTAGATAACGGATGGATGGATTATATATTTACATAATATCCTGGATGGTGTTTACCATTGGCTCACTTTTCTTATTCCACTTCCGGATCCCATTAACCAGAGTGCGCACATTTGCTCTAAAATGTTTATTGATGATTTTTGCAAGCATTCATTAAATCGAAAGTACATGCCTAATCATCAGCGAAATTCAATTAAAACAAGAATCCAGTTCGAGCCATGTGGCACGGCTCACTTCATTAAGTAGAAGCCACTCACGTATTTACAGTTCATGCATCTGCTGTCCAGGTGACAGACAGAGCCAATGTTGCAAAATTTCATTTTGTGCGTGAACTGGTTCAAAGTTCAACTCATTAAGTTTAAAATGAACTAGTTCAGTTCATAATTTAACAGTTTTTTGAATGAAGTTCATCATCCAAATATGAACAAGCTCCCATATGTTCTCTGCGAACTCCGCTATACTGTACTGGCAATTACCCAATGTTTCCATCCACTCTACACTGGAAAAGAAATATCCTCAACTATCCTTTACACATGATTAAAATATGGTCATCTGATGCGATTTTCGATTTTTTTTTCCTCAAAAATATTCAAATGATATGTGTTAGTTGAACCGGTAGGTTTCATCATGTGCAACCAATGTCCGATTTATGTAAATCCAATGGAGCCATAGGATGTTATGTTTTTTTCTTTTTCCAGTGCAATGTCCAGGTTGAGATATCACCCTACAACCTCAAAACCATGAGGGAAAACCTGTTGCTTGAATTTTCTTTTATTTTAAAGAATTAAAAAAAAAACACAGGACTGTGTTACATGGTGATGGTATAAGCAATCTGCTATAGGAACCAGGCTGAGACTGGAAACCAAGGATGTACCTCAAAGTGCATTATTCAGCGTACAAAACATTTCAAGTAATTTTATATTTCTAAGTCACTTTTCAGTGAATGTATTTCTTGACGTTTTTGAACCAGGCTGTTATCCCTAATTAACTTTATGAAAGCCAGGGATTTCACTTTAATTGAGGCTGCAGGTCTACCACAGTATACAGGAAAACCAGCTATTCCAGCTGTGGCTGGGAGATAATAGAGCCGCTATTTTACGCTGTTACTGTTTTCGGGGTCGGAAATAACTTGTTACCATTTCTTTCACATATACCTAAAGGCTCGCAGGGTGCTTTAAATAAATCAATGTGATGTGTCAGGTTTGCTGTTGATGTATTTATGATTCAACTGGGAAGGCAAAGTTTACACTAAAATGTCAGATTTGCTGCTGTGAGTTAGTGGTTTTTTTTTCCCCCCCTGTCCAAACACACATCGCATTGTGATGCGCCGTGTGAGTGTTGATGGCCAAATAATTGCTTTTCCTGCCTAATTACCGTAAGGCTCAGGGCGTTGAGCCACTCTTGGCCAAAAATGAACTGCTGTTCAAAAATCATTCACTGGCAAAAATACACTTACATTCAATTCAGGTTACTGTACACCTAAAATATGAACGAGTGAATAAACTTTCTTGTTTTTGGACGTAACTTCCCCGTCACCTTTGATACATGGATTTACCAGCACAACGGCTAACAACGAACTTTCAGCAGATCATTTTCCATTCAGAGAGAAATTCTTGTCTTAAAACTTGTAGCCTAATCCAGATGTTTGACCTAAATAACTGTATTTCAGACAAGTGGCTACCTGAACCTCCTGGCCAACTGCATTGACAACTTTACACATGGACTGGCTGTCGCAGGGAGCTTCCTTGTAAGCAAAAAGGTGAGCAACTGTGTTCATGGCATTTAACAATATGGATGTTAACCGCTTGTACAGTATTATACTGTTCTGTGCATACTTGCATAATTGAATGTAACTACTCCAAGTACATTTTGTATGTACAGGTATAGCAATTTCCACAGAGAAGATTCATGAAGTGGTTCATATAGTTAAAGTATAATTGTCATACATACATGTCATACAACACCTTTGCAAAAACCTGCTTTTACTTAAAAAAAATGATCAATACGTGGGCCTGTTTTCTGTTACGAACCAAACTAGTAACTGAATCTTAATAATTCATGCAGTTTGTGCATTATTTTTTTTGTAATTGTCAATTTGAAATGTCCTGTTCTTTGAAAAAAGGGATGGCACTTGAAAGTTTTTTTTATTTACAGAATAATTAAGAGATGAATCGAAAATTAAAATATGTGTTAGTTCCAGCCTGAATTTCATCATTATTCTTAAGAAATAGTTAAATATGAGCTGACAGTGTTAGCACCCCTTTGTAGTGTTTGAACCACTTGTACATGTATGACATCATGAATACCAAGTGTTCTAAATGTATATGAAATGAAACTCCAAATTTTGTAATGTAACCATTAAAGGACAAAATGGGCGAGCAACAGAAACACGGCTTGTTATCCATTGAGGTGATGAACATATACAGCATCATAGGTGGAACAAGACGAGTCCAGCTGGTGTGACATAAGGCTGTCAGCGGGAGCTATGAATGTATGTGCCAGAGAGGAAGTTAGCTAGATGCCTCAAACACACACACACACACACACACACACACACACACACACACACACACACACACACACACACACGTCATTTCACTGGTGCGCTTGTGCAAACTATTGGCATATGACACATAACATGAATGCTAGGACTGAAACGGCAAGAGGTCCTTTTGCACAGTCTTGCTTACAGTATATACAGAATAGTCAAAGGAATTTCACTGATAATACATTGCTTTGCAGGTTGGCTTTCTTACCACCTTTGCCATCTTGCTCCATGAAATCCCACACGAGGTGAGATGCTTGAACCTGAATATATTGCACAAATAAATGTCTTGATTTGAGTGAACTCATATTTGCCTTCAGTTTCGAAGGCCCGCAACTGCGATGTGAAGTCGTTAAAGTTTTAGCCACTCCAGCCATATGAGACGTGTCATTGTCCACAGGTGGGTGACTTTGCCATTTTGCTCCGAGCCGGCTTCGACCGATGGAGTGCTGCCCGTCTGCAGCTGTCCACCGCGCTGGTTGGCGTCCTGGGGGCTTGCTTTGCTTTATGTTCTCAGTCACCAAAAGGCACAGGTAGGATCTTTTCCGGATGTATGAATACATTCCTGTCAGACGTCACGTGGACGACAGCATTGATCTCCTATTTCCAGAAAATGCTACTTCCTGGATCCTTCCGTTCACCTCTGGAGGCTTCCTCTACATAGCCTTGGTGAATGTAGTTCCTGACCTGCTGGAAGAATCCAGTTTGAGGTATGATACACACGACCTTGACCATGAACACAAATGTTATTTCATGTCTCTAAATCAAGTGTTAAAGCTTTTTATTTATTTATTTTTTTACATTTTTTTTGTAGGCACTCCCTACTGCAGACCCTACTCATTTTCTGCGGTGTGGCCGTCATGGCTTTCCTGTCAACCATCTCTGTTTGAAAATTGAGGGTTTCTCTTCTTGCTATTGTGCCAAACAGAAAGACAACATCCAAAAACAAGGAAGACATTTTCACTACTTGCTATATCGGAAAACGGTTCTTCATGAACTCTTAAAATCCATCTTGGTAGCCAGATTACACCACCCGGGTATTGTCGTGCGTCATGGTATGCCTCAACAAATTGCACTTTATGAATCAATGGCAAAATCAATCTTGAGACATTTTTATTTGACCTTGGACATTGTGCCAGCTCTAAATATCAAGGGAAAGATGATGATTTGTATGGATTTCTGTTACCAAGTTGTCTTAAAATTGACATCTATGTTTGCACATCGGGTTAAGGTGCTACATGCAATCCAATCTCGTAGAGTTTGCCTATTTTTAAAATGTATTTATCCTAGGAAAAAGGTGTGTTGCTCCTTCATATTTATTTAAAAAAAAAAAAAGAAAAAAAAAACAAGAGAGAGAAACGCAGCATACGGAATGTCAGTGCACCACTGCACTGGCAACATTGTTCTGAGTGTCAACACTAATGTCACCCAAGTATATTTTTATCTGTCCACATGCCTTCATCATCTCATAACACTAAAACTATAATTGCACCTTTTGAGCATGATTATCAGCCTCCCGAATAGCCTATTTATCAACCATACAGGAATATTTCATTTTTTGGTGTTTGTTTCTTCACACAGTTATGGGGTTGCGGGAGTTTGAATCCAACCTCCTCCCACATTCCCCCCAAAAATGCTTTAGGTTCAATGAAGACCCCAAATTGCCCTTAGGTGCAAATGTTGCTTTTTTTAAATGTGCCCGGAGATTGTCTGCTCGTTCTATCACGAATTTCAACCAAAGATCACCCATGAACCGGATTAGGAGAAGTGGTTCAGAAATGGATGAATGGAACATTCCTCGCTCCAAACAACCCACCCGACATGAGGAAGTGAACTGTTAATTTCTCTGATCTATGCCAAGATCGGTCACTGCTAGTCTACCTGTACCGTCTCATGATATGTTGACAAAATACCACACTGGCAATCACAGCTTGAAGACAATTCGGATATGCGCCTGTTAAACAGGCTGAGTTACATTACGTCACGCAAAAGTGAAGAACCCGATACCAAGTTTCACCCTTAAATCCTGTACACCGTGTGTCAATGCTGCTGAGATCCTACGTGTGATAACGGGAAATAGAAATGAAGGGACGTGACATAGACATGGTATTTCCACTCCGGTTCCTTTTCTGCAGCTTGTTTGGCAAGCGTGTGTTGCCATCACGACTCCGCCGCAGGTTGTCTACTTTAGTCATCGGCCGATGAGGTGCGCATTGTCTGTGGGAAGCTTTTCAGTTACGGAACACGAGGACAACAAACACTCAAGGTTTGAATGGAATGCGGTGTCAAATTTACATAAAATCTAGAAGCGGCGATAAACAATGACAAGCTGCTCTGTTCCCATCATACACTCCTCAAATATTTTGTCACCAATTGATGCCGGAATATTTTGTTACTACCTTATCTGTACTATAGTACGTGATTGTCCCAAACCTTTGTTTTGCATTTGTTTTAACTGAGAGTTATTTAAGAAATGGCTGTGTAAGATTGCTGACGCTAGTTCCAATTGGTTTTATTTATGAAACTTTGTGGTAACTATTTTTTTTATTCACTCTTTGGAAGTAGCCCAACTGAAAAGTTCACAGTTGCAAACAAATGGCCATATTCTATTTCGGTGTTTTCTGGCAGGTCAAATGAAGGTTGGATCCATAAATGTTTGTGTACAGTATCGTCTTGTGCCTTTATCAACCACTGCAATTTATTTGGAATAAAGCGGGATGCCCTGGAAGTTTTCCAACTATATGGCATTTACCAGCAACAATGACAGCTATTTTATATCAATTTCATGCTCTTAAGTGCCTCCATTCTCAGGGGTTGTAAAAGTATATGCATTCTAAAGAGAGCTATTTTTAATACTTCGGTGAAAATCAATTCTGTGGCCAATGGTCCGAACCAAAGTCTGATTTGCATCCCTTGTGAGGTTTTGCCAGTTTTTTTTTTTTTTAATATATATATATTCAGCAGCTACCTTTGCTGCTTGTTAATAGGATGCGCTTCCTTCACTTTTGTCTGCTTTGGGATGGTCCGGCTAGTTTGTCTGCTTATTGAAAACCATTCTTATTTCAGACATCGCTAGACTGTTACAATGATGATAATGCCCACCTTCTCCGGAATAAAATTCTTTATGCTTGTCTTTTTTTTTTTTTCATTGAAGAAAAAATTCTGTTATCATGTGTAAAGCAATTTCAAGCTGTTGGTTGGCGTCGAGGGTATTCTTCAATGACACCTGCATGTTCTCATCCAATAAAAGATTCAGTTACTGGTGACGAAATGAAGCGCAACCAGACCTTTTATTTCAATGAACCCAAACCCCCACATGCATTGTGTTAGTGTCCAAACGCAAAATTACGGAGACCTTTGTACATTCATCTTGGAGCAACCTTGGAGACCCCGTTTTCCGGCATGGGGATCCTGTTGTGTTGTTTTAATTAAAATGTAATTTATTGATTCAATGTGACAGCTGGGATGGGCTCCAGCACGCCCGCGACCCGCGTGAGGAGAAAGGAGTTCAGATCATGGATGGGTGGATGATTCAACGCTCCACATGATTTCTGTTTTGCATCATTGCATACACTATTATTCAGAAACGTTTATGATTTACTTTTTCTGAGCCATGTTAAAAATCAGCTGTCGCGTAAAAAAATATTAGTGGGTTCAAAATTGAATCGCACTGTACCTACAGGCTGTGTGATGAATCAATGATAACGATAATGAGAGTTTAATTGTCACTTATATAGCGCTTTTTTTTTACCTCGGATACTCAAAGCGCTTCACACTGTTTCCTCATTTACCTACTGATGACGCAGCATCAGGAGAAACAGGGATTTGAGTATCTTGCAAGGACACTGACAGGGTCGCAATAGCTGGGGATTGAGTTTTTAATCTCTAGGTTCATGTGCAGCATCCACTGCTTTGTGAAATATTACACAAATTGTCAAAGAGAGTGTTTGGGAAAGAGAAACTTGAAGGAGCAGCCTGCACCAAACTCTAATTAATAGTTTTTTGTGCTAAATTTTACAAGTTACACATCACAATTAATTTCTGTATTTTTTTAAATCCATCTGCAACGGTGAAAGTGAATGTCGCTAATGACAGAGGTGACCCCCTGATTTTCACCAACATTCGTCAGAACAATTGCCGAATTCATTACCTTCGCAAGCATTCGCCCCTCAGTGAGACATGGGGTTCAGGGCTCAGCTTGCGAATGTCACACGATCAAACCCACACAACCGGTGAGCCATGTTTGGGCCTTACCTGTCTAAAATTTAAATGACCGAAACCAGCCATTTTTTTCCTGTTTAGTAAACAGCCCCAAGTGCCACCATTTGCCAAACTAACGTCTTTGCTCGTTTTTCCTCTACACACGCTATGTAGTCAAAACATCATTACGCAGAAATGTCAAAAGTATTCATGTTTGTTATTCAAGTAGAAGTATAGATACTGGGATGTAAAAATGAGTAGAAGTTGAAGTACAACTCCAGCTTTTTTTAGCTGAGTATAAGGAAAAAAGAATGCTCTTTAAACTACCTGTACCTAAAGTATAAAGAGAACAAGTACTACAAGGAGAAACAAAATAATTGGAGAAGTCAAGTCAAACATTTTCTTGTGCCATGATCGTCTAAACACAGTTTTCTGATTCATTTCGCGTTCGTGTAATTAATCAGATGAATCCACCCTACGCCACGATTTTTGTACTTGACTTGAAGTAAAAATGCTTGGGCTACATCACAGGGGCATTTTGTGCACTGACCCCCCCCAAAAAAAACACTTTTTCAAAGGCCACCAAGATTAGAATGTTAATTAAAATGTGATGTTAATGTCCATTTTTTTTTTTAGCTGCATATATACACATTTCCTAGGCCTGTAAGACCCACCAAACGAGTTTGCAAAACTGAATCACAGCTTGTTGCTTGCCAGCAAATCATGGCATGTCTCGTTAAGTATACCCAGCCATAGCAAACATTGTACATGTACTATTAGCAAGAGCAAGCATATTACTAGGTATTCATTATCATTCTCTTCCACATAACCAAGGTCGGGTCATGGGGGCAGCAGTCTAAGAAGGGAAGCCCAGACTTCCCTCTCCCCAGCCACTTTGTCCAGCTTGTCCTGGGGGATCTTGAGACATTCCCAAGCCAGCGTGGAGAAACAGTCTCTCCAACGTGTCCTGGGTCATCCTCGGCGCCTCCTCCCAGTGGCATCCCTCCCGGACGACTGAGCTTCTCACCCTATCTTGAAGGAAGTGCCCAGACACCCTGCGGAGGAAACTTATTTTGGTTGCTTGGATCTTTTGTGTGCGTGTGTGTGTGTGTGTGTGTGTGTGTGTGTGTGTGTGTGTGTGTGTAATACACACATATATACTTCTACTTAAGTAAGGTAACAAAGTATTTTACCTCATTACTTGACACCCATAGATACAGTCAATAATGATGCAGTTAAACATGCGGTAAATCAACCTTCACTCTGTAAGTATTGACTTGTTATCATCCTCTAATCTGGACCTGTCTTTTTTGAGTTCTACAGTACACCTTTTTGTCAGGTTGTCACCTGAGTAAACAAAAAAGAACACATTTGCGTGAGGTGCCTCCTACATTCCAGACCTTTCTCTGTCTTTATCCCATTTTCAAACTATTCGTCTCATCAGAAAGCTTGCTAAACACAGAACTCGACAATACATACAATGTGAATATTTTATACTTAAGTCCTAACTTAAAGTGGAAAATGCTGTAGCTTACACAAAATTGCAAACTAAGTAAATTGTTAGCCATTCAATGAGCAAACACTGCGCACGTCAAAATGCATCCGAAGTAATAAATACAGCAAAAAAAAAACCGATAGTCGATAGATTGCATTAAATGAGTGTTGGAACTGCAGTGGCAGAAAATGTAAATGCGGCCATAGTCAAGCCACCGCATGAAATGTTTTGTCGCGCGCCCGTGTACTTGATCGATACGCAAACTTGAATGAACTCAGGAAATGAGAACGGTTCGCTGACTTTACCGGGTGCACAAGTCAGCCTCAAGCTGGCACTCGTTTCGTGTGAACTGGAGACCCACAGACAGTCAGCGGCGGCGTCGTTAGTACAATAAGCACATACACGCTCATGAACGGCAAGAGGGTGAAAGCGAAAGTGAAATGACCTTCACGCTTCTTTCGGATATTATCACCTCATTAACAAAATGGACGAATTTAGTATCATTGAATTCATTACTTTTGATTAGTTTCAAACTTCAATTGTGCAGCCTGTGTAATAGACGTGATTTTTGTGCGTAGGAGTGCTTAGAGGCTGTTCTAAATTTGCACAAATTCAAGAACGAAGTTATTGACGAATCACACATTTTGGGTCAAACGTGCGTATGCATGTTTTGCGCACAAATTGAGGCGTACCCACGGTTAGTAAATAATGAAGGGCAATTGAAACTAAAACGCGTGCCCTGCCTGAACCCTCTCAGAAGAGTGGTCACAATATCAGTAATACCTTGAATACCATTGACTTGAATAATTGGTTAGAAAAAAATTGTCATTTAATTCGTGAGTTTATATTTGCACACTTTGATTGTTTTGGTCATACAGTATTTGTGTAACATTGCCTTAATATAATCGTTTTGTTATTCTCTGGGTCACTGCAGAGAGAGACTTTTTTTAATGATTGAAAAGCTAACAATTGCTTCCTGTACAGTATATGCAATTGACCAAGCAAGTCTGACTTTCTACGTTCTTTTCTGTCGTGTCCGCAGATTGCTGTCTGCTCGCCATCTCCGACAGCCTGGTGGAGAGAGTGCGGTACTACATCCCGTGGCCCAGCCTCCTCATCACAGCGCTGGTCGCCATCCATCCGCTCCTCCTGTACCACAACAGATGGTGACAACAACATTGCATCAAGCGGGGAGCACAGCAACAGACCGCAGCATCCTGTCCGTACAACACGGGCCTTTTGTCAGCATGCTCAGAGGACAGGAACGCGTGAGGCTTTGACTTCACGCGACAGCAGAGGCACCAGCACCGGCAGCGCCACGGCCACCAGAGGAAGCTTCTCGTCCGTCTGTGTCGAGTGGGGAAGATGGCCGCTATGAAAATATTAACCAGTGGAGGGCTCTTCCTGGCGTTCTGCGCGATGGGGCTGCTCGCTATGGCAATTTGCACCGACTACTGGTACGAGACGGACGCGAGGAGGCACCGAGAGAGGTGTAAAAACTACGCCAACAAGCGCAACGACCCAGGCTACATCTACATCTCGAACCACAACCTCCCCCTCCAGATGCCTCCGAAGAGGAGGGGAGGCGGCCCGGAGGCTGCTCCTCTCTTCAGGGGCAAGCGACACTTTGTGGCCGCAGCCTCCGCGATGGAGTCCCACTGCAGTCGGCAGTTCAATTCAACGGTGTCGGGCCTTTGGAGGAAATGTCATCGGGAGGGATTCGACCTTGAAACCGAAGACCTTATTTACAAAGGTAAACACGAGCGGCGTCCCGGCAGGAGCAGGCCACGATGCTCGGCAAGAAGAGCACACTCACACCTTTAGCTTGACAGCTCAAACACAGCGTGGCTCGGCAGGTTCTTTTGAAAACCGCATTTGACTTGGTTGCCAATCAACCTAAATGGGGATGTCTCATTAAGAGCATCCAGTATGCATTCCTTTGCCTAAAATGTTTTTGATCATCTTATTTGTGACCCTGCTAAAAAAAAAAACAACAAAAAAAAAAAAACAACAACAACAACAACCAAATATGCTTCATAGAAAGTTGCACTTTTTTCAGGAGCTTAAGCGAAGACAAACAATAACAAACCTTGAGCTCACATGGCACAGACCAATGTGTTTTTACTCTCTACCCTGAAAACAATTATTATGCAGTAACATGCCAAGTGAACTTTCTCCAGTTGTTTTTTTAATTAAGAGTCATCACCACAAAACATATGGCAACCATTCTAGTAGGACTTCACACTGAACTTGACCAGAGATAGTTACGCACATGTTTACACATTTTAGAAGAGACTAATGCAGGCATATTTGCATGTCATCTGTCACCTTGTCTCAAAAATTTGTTTTTATAGGATGTTGAACACATATTCATCATAATCCTTTGAGGCTAGCCTCGATAACAGAGGTCATCCACATGGTGCCTGCGGGACCACATGACTAGCCCTTTGGCTGGTTCTAAAAATAGCTCAATAGTGATGAGACAAGTTTTTTTTTTTTTTTTTTTTTAAGATTGCTGTTGAAGTGATTGTTTGAAAGTGGAAACATCCATCCATCCATCCATCCATCCATCCATCCATCCATCCATCCATCCATCCATCCACTCATTTTCTGATCCGCTTATCCTCACAAGGGTTGTGGGGCATGCTGGAACCTATCCCAGCTTTCTTCGGGCAATAGGTGGGGTACACCCTGAACTGGTTGCCAGCCATCACAGGGCACACGTAGACCAACAACCATCTGCGCTCACACTCACACCGAGGGACAAGTTAGAGCATAGATGTCAAACTCAGGTCCTGGAGGGCCGCTGTCCTGCTTGTTTTCCAAGTCTCCCTGTTACAACACACCTGACTTAAATGAACAGGTTCAATGACAGGCTTCCGTAGAGCTTGCTGATGATCTGATCATTTGAATCAGGTGTGTTGCAACAGGGAGACTTGGAAAACATGCAGGACAGCGGCCCTCCAGGACCTGAGTTTGACACCTATGAGTTAGAGGGTTCCAATCACCTGCCATGCATGTTTATTGGAATGTGGGAGGAAACCGGAGTACCGGGAGAAAACCTACACAGGCACGGGGAGAACATTCAAACTCCACACAGGAAGGCCAGAGCTGGAATTGAACCCTAGACCCCTGCACTGTGAGGCTGACACACAAACCAGTTGACCGCCGAGCCGCCAAAATGGAAACACCGAACGAGATTTCCAGAAATAAATTGTTACATATTGATATTTATCTGTTTCCTGATTATTGTGAGCAATCAAACTGTTAGCCCTTCGCATTAATCAGTACCCGAGAAGTAGCCATTCGGTTTCACAAATGTTGCTCCTTCGATAGCATACATATTGTAAAATCATCAACACACACTGATTTTATACAACGTGTTAGCTAATTAATCAATGAGATTGAAAGTGCTGTCTTGGCTGTATTTTAACAACCGATCTTTTCATCATTTAACAATGCATTAGCAGTCCCGAAAACTATCCATAGAAGATTTTGCTGAGGGTTGTTGCATGTATTTGGTTGGAAAGTCAATGTTATTACATACACAGCTTTCTGCATTAGTAGATGTCAAAAAAAAAATAGTTTCACCAAAGGCCAGTGTGTTGACGCACATGACAATGTAAACACCAATGGATGCCAGTATTACACTTTGCCAGTCCATTTCCCAAACCACATCTTACAGCATGTTTGTACAAAAGTCAATGGCATACAAAGACACATGCAAACATTCATAGTTTAACAATACAATGGCCAAGCTGGTTTTTGAACTAGCATGACGCATGCAGACTCGAAGCTCTTGTGTCATTATTTGCTCACAAAGTAAGGCCAGATAGCATGAATGAGTAATGTTTTGTTATACCCGTTATTTTTACTTGAACGAATCCCAGAATTATACAGAAATCTGTATTTCGGACCAAATGACTAATAATTATTGGGCGACATGATCTTTCATCATGTCTTCCCTCAAGCGCAAATATTATTGAAGTTCTAGCAAGAACAAGATTCTGAGAGGCTTTGTGGTCATAGCGTTGCTCTGCCAATGCGTTATGTAACATTTCTGACTGTTTCTGAAAATAATTAAAAACACAACTGTAACATTTGAAAGGGGGAGAAATGAGGCACGTCGTTTGTGGGTGGAATATGATGTCAAAGAAACGTGTGTGTCGTATAGTGCTAATTTGCTCATTGCAAATGGTACTTAATTTCAGCCTTAGAATCTGACATTGTGACAGTTTGGTGTTTCTTAAACACTCAATAAGATTGAAAATATAAAAATATATATTTTGGAAGATGGTGTCTCTTCAGTAGCAACCAAGTACGGTGATTTTTTATTTTTGGATAATCACATGTTCTTCTGTTAAGATTGTAACCATGAACATTTTGAAAATATCATTCCTGCTGAAATGTAAAAAAAAAAAAAATGCAGGCCTTATGAGCTATGGAATCAGGTATAAGCTACAGTATGTTCAATAGCAGTGATTTTCAACTGGTGGGTCATGGCCACAGCTAGCAAAAAGAGGGAGGCGCCGGCGCCGTTCTCCCATTTCACCCAGCGCCGACACCGAGAGGTCCGTCTTCCCCCCCACCAAATCGAATAATGCTGGAAGGTGCACGGCTTGACCACTGTTGGAGTACACCTACATTGTGTTTCAGAGTATTTATTTATAAATATTTATTATTTCATTTGTGGAGTTTGCATGTTATCCCTGTGCCTGCGTGGGTTTTCTCTGGGTACTCCGGTTTCCTCCCACATTCCAAAAACATGCGTGGCCGGTTAATGGATCACTCTAAGTTGTCCCGAAGTGTGTGTGTGTGTGTGTGTGTGTGTGTGTGTGTGTGTGTGTGTGTGTGTGTGTGTGTGTGTGTGTGTGTGTGCCCTGCGATTGGCGGGCAACAAGATCATGGTGTCCCCCGCCTACTGCCCAAAGACACCTGGGAAAAGCTCCGGCACGCCCAGATCCTCGTGAGGATAAGAAAATGGATGAATGGATAGATTGTTTATCGGCATACTTTATTTAATATTACACCTTTATTTTTACTCCCCTCAGTTTGGCTGATCTGTTTTAAAATCCCAATTTTGTTTTATTACTTGGCAAATCTTATGGGATGAAACAGAATTGTCAAATAGAATTTTTTTTTTTTGTATTGATTAATACAGGGGTGGCCAACCAGTCAGAGACAAAGAGCCAATTTTTTTACTGTGTTACTGCAAAGAGCCACATCATACCCTTCGTCGCGCACGCGTGCGCGCGCACACACACACACACACACACACACACACACACATACAAACACACACACACACACTTTTTTGGCCAAAGATCGACTTTTAAAGTGACCATCTTCTCACGAACGACCCGATCGCGCACGTGCAAGCATGCACACACACGCACACACACGCGCACTCGCACGCACGGACTCACGCGGGTGCCCACCAGTTCACTCGTGCACATATGCACGAACACCACAATGAGCAACAGTCGGAACGGCCGAAAATGAATGAAAGCTAAATATACAAACAAACAAATCTTTTTTTCCCCCACCCATTTCCTCCTCCCACCCGTTGCGGTCGACTTGGGACCAGTTCGCTGGCTCCTGGTCGATTCTGATCGACGTACTGGACACCCCTGCCTTAAAATCAGAGGTAATTCGCTGACTAGCTTAGCGCTTAGCGCCGTTGTTTGCGCATGAGCGGTGATGCAGTCATCTGATTGGTTGCCCTCTATGTCAATCAAGTAATGGTGCAATGATAGGCTGACGAGCCTAGCGCTTAGCGCCATTGTTTGCGAATGAGCGGTGATGCAGTCATCTGATTGGTTGCCCTCTGTGTCAATCAAATAACGGGATTGATGATAGGCTGACGGAATACGTTCTGTGAAGTTAGTGCCTTGTTTGAATGGCATCACCACTGACGAGGCGTTTTCGACGCTTGTCATGTGAGAGCCCGGGAGCCGCATTGAACCAGCCAAAGAGCCGCATGCGGCTCGCAAGCCGCGGGTTGGCCACCCCATGGATTAATACATTAACATTTACTACCACACATAAAAGAAGAAAAGTACTAAAAATGGGTGCAGTTGAGTACCAGTTTCGATTCCCAGCTACCAAGAATCTGAACCAAAGCGGTTCAAATGTGAAAGGTAACCATCCCTTTTTGAGAACCACTGGTCTGTAGTTTTGTATTTATGTAACACAACATTGGCAAAAGGTGTCAGAGAATTTAACTTTTTAGTTGGATGAATTCAGGAGATATTTATGTGCAATGTTTCACTTTTTCTTTGTGTCACCAGGAATAATTCAAAGATGTACTCCAGTAAAGTATCACTACACGTCCTCCATTCTTCCACGAAATTTACCCGTCAACATCTCGAAGACCATACGGCAGGATGAATGGCATGCACTTCGTGAGTAACAATGTATTGTATTTTTTATGAAGAGTTGACCCTTACATTTTTGTTTTTCCTTTTGTCTTTTTTTTTGACATCCAGCATTCTGCTTTTTGGCTTTGAGCACATAATACAGAATGTGATGACCCATGCTTTCTTTTAAGGGAAGCGGAATTCTGTTGTTTCTCTGATCTTAAGGAGATATTTTCTGTCTTTGTCCATGTTATTCCTAATCAAAAGGGGAAAAAAATTGAATTGTTTTGGCCAGCCATGTTTTTTATGTCTGTGGCCATAATGCTGGTGTTTTGTGAAAATGGGATAGATGTTAAAAAAATGTCTGCCACTCCACTGAACCATCTCAAGCATGAAATGGTATTTGCTGTTTGGGCAGCTTTAATTGAAGGAAAATCCAGTATTTATTTTTTTTGGAGGGGGTAGGGGGGGATTGGACCACTCCCTCACCATCAAAAGTGACAAGAACTTGAACGTGATACATTTTCAGGCATGTTTTGATTTGAACAATATATGTGTTTCATTCTGTGCCAGGGTCGCTGCTACCCTTTTGGGTTCCCTAAGCAGAAAAGTCAGATGACCCCCCGTGAATTCTTGTTTTTTTTTTTTGTTTGTTTTTTTTTTTTGATGGCGGGTGGGGGGGTTGCTGTGGGTGTTATGCTATGGCCGGTGGTTGCTGATACTGATGGGTACTTGAGCAACGACTGGCTTGTTCAAACCCATCATTAGGCCTCGGTCTTTAGGGGGCCACATGAAATGCATGGGGGGGGCAATTACCCTATGAACAATTGCATATGTGCGTGCATGTGTGGCTTGATTACAACAGTGCAAAAACACATTTACTAGGGCTGGGTTTGAAAAAAAAAAATCGTTGAATCAAATCCAATCAATTTTCCTTTTCAGAGCCCAATATTGACTCATAAAACCATAAATCAGTCCTTTTATTACGTCTTTATCCCATAAATGCATGTGACTTCTCACATCATTTAAAATCTTGTCACCATGCGAGAGTAGCCTATCATAACAACATGGCGGACGCACAGAGATCGGTGCCAACCAGCTTGAAGCCAAAAGTGACTATCACAGGAAAGTGAATGTCATGAGATTACGGTGTGTTTTTTTTTTCTTTTTATTTACACAGCCTGTCCTGTGGTTGGACTTAATTTAAATTATTTACAGCAGTGGTCCACAAACTTTTTCCTGTGAGGGCCACATCACTTTTCGCTTCTCTGATGGGGGGCCAGGGTCAGTTTGTAACAGAAAAAGGGTGACTGCAAGAATACCTAAACATAAAAAAAAAAAAAGTTTTCCAGAAACCCACACAAAATCAAACCACTTTTTCTGGATTTTTTCACAGAACAAAAGTCAGGAAATAAATAATAACACTATGAATGAAATAAATAATAACGAAATAACCCTAACCAGGTTCTTCACAGAAAAAAAGCCAGGGAATAAATTACACCATTTATGAAATAAATAAAAATCAACTTTGCTCTGATGAAGTTTATGGATGACTATACAACCTTCATGACAGAATCCCAAGTCAATACTTTGCAGCACAGTGCTTGCTGGTGAATTAGGCAGTGAATTTGAAATTCCGTTCTTCCACCTCCCAGTTCATGTGTCCTATTAGACCCCCGAGACGCGCCCACCATACTCGCAGCCCCGTCAGTTGTGTTGCTGGCCAGCTTTGACCAGCCCAGGTCTAACCCTTCCATAGTTTGGTGCACTTTGCCGAAAACATATTCCCCTGTCACTTTGAGACTTTGGAGGGCTGCCAGCTCCTCGCACATCTCAAAGTTTGCGCTAACTACACGAATAAAAATTTGCAGTTGCACTGTGTCCTGCACGTCCTTGATCTCATCCAGTGTTAATGAAAATAATTCAAATTCTTTCGTCTTCTGCTGCAGCTGGGCATACACATTACCCGCAATTTCTTTGATACGTCTGGCGATTGTACTCACTGATAGACTCACGGTATGAAAGACGTCTTTCTTCTCGGGACACACCTCCTCCGCGACAGCATTCGTGCATTTCTTGACAAACTCTCCATCAGTGAAAGGTTTACCGCTGCTTACTATCAGTTGAGCAAACCGAAAGCTAGCCTGTGAAGATGGCTGTTCCAGCTGAAGTTGGCGTACAAATGTATTTTGCTGAGCTAACATTCCTCTTTTTAGCATTGACAGTTTGTCTGCTCGCATTTGGCCATGCAAAATATCATACTTGTCGTTGTGATGGGATTCATAATGTCTCCGCAGATTATATTCTTTGAATCTCGCCACCGCCTCCTGACAGATGAGACAGCCAGCCTTTTTTTTTGCATTGAAAAAAATTAAATAAATAAATAAATAAAATCGTTTCTCCACATTGGGTTAAATTCCCTGTATTCTGAATCATTTTTTTTCTTACCTACCTAACCTTTTAGCCATGATTACATTCTCTTTGAGAGGGGCGGATTTAGGATTTTTTTCTGCGGTTGCCAGATAACGGCACAGACCGCAGAAGGATGGAACAAATGTCACGTTATATGTGTTCATGAAATAGTTATGAAAACTACCTAATAGTTAATAATGGAAATATTTCAGGACTAAGGAATACTTTATTGCAAAAGCCTTTATGATAAAATACAAATACACACAGATGAAAACTAAATCAAAATACTCTCCGGTATTGTTCATGGGGGCCGGACCAAATGTGGAGGTGGGCCGGATCCGGCCCGCAGGCCGTGGTTTGGTGACCACTGATTTACAGTACAGACGCTCCCCAGCTTACGAACGAGATACATTCCGAAGGATCGTTCGAAAGGTGAATTCGTTCGTAAGTTGCTTCAGTGCTATATTTTGTATGGAATGTATGTTTAAGGCTTATATAAGTATGTTTAAGGTTCATATAAGTATAATAAAATGAAGTTTAACTTACTTTTGGAAGATGTTCTCGAAGGCTTAAGGATGATTGCACAGTTTTCTTCTTTTTCTCATCATAAATGATGCAGTAGCACTGTATGGCATCATTCATTTGATTTGCAACCTTTGTGCAACGTTCAATATTTGGGTCTTGCTGCTCGAAGAGTGCGATGGCTTTATCTAATGAGCGAAAACCCCTCGGCCAAGAGTTCCGTCTCGAATTTCTTCATGGGGACAGGCGTTTCCTCCTCCTCTCACAGCGCCTCACGTCGGTATTAGCGGCGGAAAGAAGCACTACAGTTCTCGGAAAAAGGCGCGCAATACAAAATCTAACTTACAGCATCTCTGTCCGAACATTTTTCGACATACCTGTACCCGCAAAAATGTTCGTATGTACCGTTGTTCGTAACTCGAATGTCCGTAAGTCGGGGAGCGTCTGTATTGTTTTGATCAGGTCATGTTCAATAAACCATACATGATTAATGCAATTGATTTGGGCTCAATTCTGAATGTAAATGTTCATATTTTACTAATGCACCAAGTTAGAACAAGAACAGCCTTCCTTCTGCGTGAAATCCTTAACCGAATCAAACATCAAAGTGAATTGTGAAACAAATTGAGCCCTTCTGGATCCAGCCCAAACATTCACACACGTTCACACACATTAGATTCCCATCAATCAAACAAAATACCATTGTTTCTTTGTCCTTTTTAAATTCTGAGTGATAAATAACTTAACACTAGCATTTCTTGATCCCAAAAAAGAAAATACGAGCAGGGAACTTCTGCTACTTATTCACCCATTCAGCTAAATGAATTGTCTTCACATCACTTGAGGCCAACTCACAATGATTCCCAATAAAGAGACAGGACCAGTGTTTGTCTTTCCTTGTTCTTCTCCAGTTTTTCTCATTCACTTCACTGTTCTCGTCTTAAAACATTGGCATACCATTGTGGACGATGGCGATTTGGGTATGGACGTGTTTATGTGGCTTTCCTTATAAAAATACATCAAATAGGTCAATATATCTGTGTACACCACATAGGTTAAGACACTTTCACTTAACAAGCCATATTAAACAAAGCGGGGTTAAGCTAGCAACATCCAAGCAGTACTTCTGCTTTGTATGCTTTTCCTGAAACTAAATTGGTGCCACTTCCACATTTGAATCTGTTCTGTGACCACGCTCAAAACACTCATAATTCCAATCATTCTTTGTGATCAAATTAAATCGGAATACAATTAATCCCCCCCAAAACCCTAAACAAAACAAACAAAAAAACCCCACTGTCAGCCCAGTTAAAACGGATCTTCTTGGGCTTGTGTGGCCGTCACTGCTACACAGTGACAAGATTTGCTCTTCACATAAGCTGCAAACATAGCACAAAATAGCAACGAATGCAGTGTACTTCGACCATTCTTATGTCTGTTGGCAAAAAACCATGCTTAATGGCGCATCACTGCCACCAAAGGTCCTTCCATAGCAAATAAACCAATGTGAATTGATGGTGTCTGGAACCACAGTTGCATACAATGTGCTGTACAGAAAGTAAAAATCAGACATAGACAACCAAAGACAGTTAAAACATATATTAACATAAAAAACTGTAAAACAACACAACGCCAAAACATTGCCAAGTCTCATGCTGAATCGAAAGCCCAAAATTAAAATGCATCTTGAAAAAGATGTTCAGATATCAAGGCACCGCTGCATCCTGAATAACGCCTGGAGTCTGCTGGGTTGGGCACTTGCTCACCCGCGACCCGAATGAGGAGGATGGGTGCTCAGAATGGGTGGATACAAATCTAAAATAATATAATGTTTAACCACTGTCCTATGAAAATAATGTATTTACATAGCATATACTGTGGAATGTTTTTATTGTGTGTTTATTGTCACCCCCCCCCCCAAAAAAAAGGAAAAGTTAATTTCCATTTGTTGTTTTGAGGAGGGGGAAAAAAAAACATTTTAAGTTACACACTCTGTATTGGTCTGGAGCAAAAGTGTTACATGATGTAATAGTAATTGCAGTGATAGCTGTTGTTCACATGAATCATTCTGTAACCTTGTCATCTCTTCTTGCAGATCTAAGAAGAATGACAGCCGGCTTTGTTGGTATGGCCGTCGCCATAATACTTTTTGGCTGGATAATTGGAGTGCTGGGTTGCTGCCAACAGCATGACCTCATGCAATATGTAGCTGGGCTACTCTTTCTCATGGGAGGTACTGTGTGGAAACATTTGCGCACAATTACCGGGACACAAACACATCGACCAGCCACAACATTCTGGCCACTTGCTCGGTGTCGTGACATCCAATACGGGTGCTGTTTAAAACAAGCTGCTTTTTCTCAGATGCTAATGTTCACATTTAATTGACACCGTCAGAGAAATGTATCTACCCAGATGTTCTTTTTTATGATTGTAATATGTAGTCGTGTACAACTGGACTGTATTTTACTCAAAGCTGTTCCTTCTGCTTTCGACTCTTTCCGATGACGTAATTGACATGACCAAAATATTACACTCAGCTCTCACATGATACACTGCAAAACCGCCCCATCAATATCACCATTAGGCGCCTTTGCGACGTCCGCATTTTAGCCCCCAAATCTGAATTTTTCAAATCAACTTCAAATTCAGTGTATTAAGTAGATCTAGAGCAGCCTGGTGGTCCAGTGGTTAGATTAGATTAGATTAGATTAGATATCCTTTATTTGTCCCACACTGGGGAAATTTACAGCCTTCAGCAGCAAGATTGTGGGTAGAAAGAAGAGAAAAGAAACACAGTTCAATTAAGTGCAATATAAATACAAACATGGATAAGGTCAATAATTAAGTGCAATATAATACAATAGTCACAGTACTATTCACATATGTTGTCATATCATTTAAATAATTCTATGATTCATTTATTTATTCATTTTTTATTCAGCAGCCTGACAGCAGTCGGTAGGAACGAGCGGCGGTATCTCTCCGTCTTGCAACGCGGGTGTAACAGTCTCTGACTGAAGGAGCTACCGAGTGCTGTCAGGGCTGGCTGAAGGGGGTGGGAGGGACTGTCCAACATAGCTTTTAGCTTAGCTAGCATCATTAGCGCGTCGACCTCACAGTGCAGAGGTACCAGATTCAAATCCAGCTCCGGTCTCCCTGTGTGGAGTTTGCATGTTCTCTCCGGGTCCGCGTGGGTTTTCTCCGGGTACTCTGGTTACCTCCCACATTCCAAAAACATGCATGGGAGGCTGGCTGAACACTCTAAATTGTCCCTAGGTGTGAGTGTGGCCATGCATGGTTGTTCGTCTCTGTGTGCCCTGTGATTGGCTGGCAACCGGCCTACTGCCCGAAGATGGCTTGTGAGGATTAAGCGGATCGGAAAATGAATGAATGAATGAAGTAGATGTAGAGTCCATGCACACAGCAAAATATGTGAGTGAGCTGATGGGTGGATGATGACAGGATGGCCATTCTTGGCATTTTGTTGAACACATGGTGGAGTAAAATCATTTTGTTAGCAAGCTGCTTTAACAAATGCGTTCTGACTTTTTGAAAGGTTTTAATGTCAGCTGATGTTTCTCGATGACATAATGGACGTGTTAAGCTTGACAACATCCAACTACACAACCAATACCATGAAAATGATGAATCTTCATTGTTGATATTTACTCTGCATTAGCCACTTTTTCAGCAACTATTCAAAAAGGATAAAAAGTTGAATGTAATGTCAGTGAGGGTTTCTTAAAGGGGCAGCTACCCCATAACGACATGACAGAAAGCAGCTTTGGGGACACATGCAAAATATTATAATGACAATAGACATGTTATAATGACATGTTTTATCAAATAACCTGTTGTGGACAATAAATAGACTCCCTCCGTACCATTTACCCACTTATTACACACACCGTTTGTAGGTCTGGGTATCGATTAATCATGTATGTTTTATTGAACATGACCTGATCAAAACAATAAATACTTTAAATCAAACCCTCGCAAAAAGTAGTTTATTGAAGTACACAAGAAGTAACCTGGCGTCCCGGTGGTCTAGTGGTTAGCGCATCCACCTCACAGTGCAGAGGTACCGGGTTCGATTCCAACTCTAGCCTTCCTGTGTGGAGTTTCTCCGGGTACTCCGGTTTCCTCCCACATTCCAAAAACATGTGTGGCAGGCTGATTGAACAGTCACAAAATTGTCCCTAGGTTGTGTGTGCCCTGCGATTGGCTGGCAACCGGTGAAGGGTGTCCCCCGCCTACTGCCCGAAGACAGCTGGGATAGGCTCCAGCACACCCCCCGACCCTTGTGAGGATAAAGCGGTTCAGAAAATGGATGTATGGATCAAAGAAGTAACCTTTTCTATACTAAATTAGATGCAGTATACTGCATATTCCACCCATCCATCCATTTTCTGATCTCGGGGCGTGCTGCAGCCTATCCCAGCTGTCTTCGGACAGTAGGCGGGGGACACCCTGAACCATATACTGGTATTAAAAAAGATCAATTTATAATTTTCTGAATCGATATGGGGCAACGAAAAGGAAAATCGACACAATCTTTTTTTTTCTGGGTTAAACCCAGCCCTCATAGTTAGCAGATGCACATGCACGGTGGAACATCAAGTTATGACCTTAATTGTTTCCGTGAGTGCATTTATAACTTTCATAAATCAAGGTAATATTTCCCATTGTAATGAATGGAAATGCACTTAATCCATTTCAGCCCCAAAATTATACTTACTTCGTTTCTTTTCAAATTCACTGATTGATTTTGGCATACCAATTCAAGGAAACTTGTATTTTTCTGTTGAAAAAAAAAATCATAAAGTGAGATGTCACATTGTCATTTAACAGATTTATCCGCTACAATTTTCTTTTGATAATTTTCAAATTGTTGATTACCTCGCTCATGCTGTCACCAGCAAGTGCTTTTTTATTTCTCTGTCTAATAAAAATCAAAACAGCAACAGATACATAGCCTTGTTACAGTACGCGAGAAGCAACAACACAGACGCAGTCTGGTTATAAGGCGCAAGAAGACGAGCACGGATCTTTCTGCTCATGTTTTGAAAAGCGCTTCCAATAACGCTCCCTGAGGCAGCTTCCTTTCCCTTAGGAGCCAGTCTGGCTGTTCATCACTTTAATTACGTGTTTGTCAAAAGTTCAACGTGTCTGTCAACACGGGACCTGCTGCCGCATTTATTCAAGGCGACCATTTCTGACATCTGTGATTGGCTGAATGGCGTGGACGTTGGTGGAATTTCATGCGGGGATGCGGCTATATGGTGTGATAACACCGACACTAACATCCATCCCATCCATCCCATTTTCAACACCGCTTATCCTGCACAGGTTCATGGGGCTGACATGAACAGCTTGTTGTTTTAATTAAAGAAATGCTACATTTCCATAAGTATCATACACAACGTAAATTGTATTTTGTTCTTTTTGACAAAAAAAAAAACAAAAACTCATGATTTGTGGATTTCTATGAGGCTGCACGTCCTTTAATTGCTATTAGATTTTTGATTGGATGATCAAGAATGTGGAAGTGGAACTTCCACCTACCTATTTAACACGTCTCCGATTTTGCCTTAAGCTGTGGAGAGACACAACTAGTTTTCAAGTTTACCTCAATGCATTATGCACGTTGTCAATGATGGTTACACAGCACAAGAAGAAACACAAAATACTTCAGATCCACCCCCTTGTCCAAGACTGTTCATCCATCCATCCATCCATCCATTTTCTGATCTGCTTATCCTCACGAGGGTCGCGGGCAGTGCCGGAGCCTATCCCAGCTGTCTTATGGCAGTAGGCGGGGGGACACCCTGAAGTGGTGCCAATCGCAGGGCACACATAGACAAACAACCATCCACGCTCCCAATCACACTTAGGGACAATTTAGAGTGTTCTGTTAACCTGCCACGAATGTATTTGGAATGTGGGAGGAAACCGGAGAAAAACCCACGCAGGCACAGGGAGAACATGCAAACTACACACAGGGAGGTCGGGAGCTGGAATCGAACCCTGCACCTCTGCTCTGTGAGGCTGACGTGCTAACCAGTCCAAGACTGTACGTATATCGAAAATAATCCGTAAATAGAGGTCATCTTTCTCGGAAAATTTTGTGCGTCACCCAAATTGTATTTAAAACAGGGCGTTCATAACCCGAGATTCCACTGTATATACCCGCCTGCCCAAAAAAATCTAATAATTTGAAGTGAAAGAAACACATTTGAAGAGACTGTATGAGTATGTGTGTTTGGCTACTTACAATAAGAGTTACGTTATTCTTCTTCATTTTCATGACTGGGTGATTCAGATGAGCGCGCCAAGTCACTTTATAGTGACATCGACCAAAATTAATACCTGTTGGACAGTGTTGCAATTTAACAGTATTACCTTTATAAAACAGCTGCTGGATTTCTATTGGAGATCCTCATACTCTGGCTATAAGGATGTGGCTGGTCGTTGTGAACCGGGTATGAAAAGTCAACACATCCTTTGTAAATGTGTAATTTTTTTCTGAACCTTTACAGAAAGTGTGAAAAGATCTCTGTGCAAAGCTGTGGGAGAAGAAAATGAGAGAAATAAATACATGTGCAAACATGCGTATCCACATAAATTGTGAATGAGACTGTTTACACAAGTGACCAATCACTCTTAAACTCTTGTTAAATAGTAGCGAACCCCAAATTTAAACTAATCTTGTTTAACCGCATTCATCTCAGAACCGTTGCAACAACAGCCATAAAGAGCAGTAATGACACCTTGAAAAAAATCAACTTGGTGGTGGCGGTGGGGGGGAGACACATTTCAGACGGAAGAAAGGCTGTAATGAATTTCGGCAAATTTACGGGGATTGCTGTTAGGATAGTCTCTAACTATATTGGTTGAAAAAAAGAAGAAAAAGACATACCGTTAAATATACGCCCCCACATGTAAATTGACAGGAAAATGATTGGGTAAGAATTGCAACCTGTAATTTAACAGTGTCAATCAGTGGCGCATTATAAAATAACTGTCAAGTTTACTGTCAGTTTACAGAGAAATTCTTTACAGTCATCTTTACAAAAAAGTCTTGCAGAAACATTGGCTGAGACAGATACTGAAAGCTTTGATCAAGAAACTCCAAACCGAAGTGTGCATTGCATGAACACCGCGTGTGCTCGATAATGCAAAATGCTCTCAGTAACGTTATAAAATTCCTACTTACTATCATCATGCACATACAAATAAAAGTGATCTGCCTTACAATCAAACCCCAAATATCAGTAAATGAAATACTCGGCCTCTGAAGACGCCTGCCTGAGAGGTCGATGAAAGATGTTTGCAGAGTGATAGTCACCTGGTGGCGCTCTATTGGTATTGAAGAAATTCGTAAGTGTAGTATATTTAAATTCACCTTTCTGCAGATTCTATTTTTTTTTTCATTTCATCAACTGTGGATCAAATAAGACCGTTGAGCATCCATGAATGTCCAATAGACACTGATCCCACTAAATTGGAGAAGTTGAAAAATGTACTTTCTCCGTGTGGACACTGAGTGCGTGTGTCTTCACAGGAACATGCTGCATCATCTCCTTGTGCACATGCGTGGCTGGAATCAACTTTGAGTTATCCCGCTACCCTCGCAACATGTACGGCCTTCCGGAGGACATTAGCCATGGCTATGGCTGGTCCATGTTTTGTGCCTGGGGCGGCCTCGGCCTTACTCTGCTGGCTGGGTTCCTCTGCACCTTGGCCCCCTCCCTCAGCACGCCGGCCCGCACGGCGACCCATAAGCCGAGGCACGAGAATGGAACCGTGTGACAAGGCCGGGGCGACTCACCGCCGAGCGCACGAACTACACTCTTCAAAACGTGGATGTGAGCATCTACAACCGTTTTTGTCTCATCACCGTCTCACCGCGCACTCAACATCGCCATCCCTCTCAGTGTTCATTGTGCCTGAGTTGTGATTGCACACTTTCTGGAACAACGAACCCACAGACTTGAAAAACAAGGACCTCCACAGGGACACCCAGAGTGCAACCTAACGTCTTTGGCGATCATAGCACAAGGTTTTTTTGATGTTGTCTCTTTGGACTTGCTGACTTTATGGCAATCTGAAGGTGACTGTTTTACAATGGTGCTCTCCTAAATCCATTTGCTACACGTACACACACTCCTACGGGCGCACACGGGCCCATGCAGACAGACACCAGCTTTTCCACACACTCATTTTCTGCTGATGAATCATGGGAGAAATCATCCAAACAGAGCAAATCACATCAAATGAGGCCAGAAACATCCCGTCAGCCTTGCTCTTTTCAGTTGAGTGAAGTGCGCTGTTATCATTTGCGATGGGGTGGCGGGGGGGAGGGGAGAAAAAAAGATCTGTCAATGAATGCCTATTGCTGATCGTTCGTGTAGCACAATGATATCAAACGTTGGACCGTAGACCCTGTCAGATGTCTGCGTTCTCTACTGGGTGAATCAAGTGGTGTGGGGAGCAACAAAAAATAAATAAATAAATACACCCGACTAAATTTGCATCCAAAAGCAAACCATTTTGATCACCTCTTAAAAAGATTTGTGTACGTGTATGTGCGCAATTGCATCTCTATGTAGACTAAGATACAATGTTTATGTCAAGTAGATTTTCAATAAGGTTGTTTATATCTGTGTGTGTTGAAACAATGATGCCTGACAGTACGGAAGTGCGGGCTCAGCGGGATTGTTTTCAAGATTTGTGCTGCAGGGATGAATCCATTATAGGATTTAGCAAGATGATGGCATTTTGAGGTTTTCGGGGGTGAGGAACTGAAATGCATAACTGCTGAGCTGGGACTTCGGGCTGCTGCGCTCTTACTGCTCTTGACAGAGCCGGTTGTTTGCTGAGAGCTTAATTGTAAGGCGACAAGAGACATATAAGAAAGCCGACTGCCGAGTGAAATTCAGGCGCTGCGTTGTTTACACTCACAATTTAAAGTACTTGTTTGAGGGAAAAGGGAAAACAAGTGCTGCAAAGTTTTAGTGTTGCCACAAAAAAAAAAAGACGACTCAACATGGTCCTTTGCAGCTGAAATGGTGAAATGGAACAAGCGGCATTTTTTTTACACTAAAATCCACCTTTTTCAATGTGTTGCTGCACATCTAAGGAGTTGTTCCACCACTTCATTCAACTATAATTCAGTTGTTTGAATAAAATGGCATCACTTTGATTAGATGCAGGGCTGCAACCTCCCCAAAATTATCAAAAGACCAATCTCATTGTCATCTACGGTGTTCAACAAATGCATTCCACTGCCACCGCCGAGGATTCATCTCAGAAATCAACCAACACCATGAAGCATTTTTGGGGGGCTTATCATCCTCCTCCTCCTCCTCCTGGGCAATCGCCCCCGACAGGGACTTGACCCCCCTCCCGGGTCCCACACCCGGTACGACTCTTGCAGGTGCCGAGCGAGGTTCACACCCAGTGTGGGCCCCGGAAGGGCCCTCGTCCTATTATTGTTTAAGGAGGGTTGTGGGGCGGCTACTCCCACTCCCCTCCGTTCTGGTGGGGCAAGCGCTGGATGCCTCACCTTCCGGTGAGACCCCACCTCCTTCCGCGCCGGCCGGTGGGCATTTAGCCACGTCTGGGGCCCAAGAGCCCCGGCGTTCCCCCCTCGCGCCACTCGGAAGCATCCCACCACGCGAAGGGGACTCATCATCGTCATCATCATTATCATCATCATCATCATCATGTTCAGTGAGCTCATTGAGCCGTTTAACAGAAATTTCAAACTGAATTCAGCTTTTTATATCCGAACGTGAACCAACTCGCTTAAGTCAAAAATCAATCAAGCATATCACCAAACCACAACAAAAAAAAAATAACTTGTTTCTCTATTGAGGAATGCAAGTACATCTAAATTATTTTGAAATAATTTGAAGCCTTGGTTAAAAAAAAAAAAAAGTACTGTACTACTTTCTCGTTTCTTACAAACTTTAAATTACTTGATGACAAAAGATTTGTATTTCTGCTTTAAAAAAAACCCATACTGGTTAAATGGCTTCCACGTGGTGGTGTATTATTAACCATTACAGCATAAACATTAAAAAAGTACATAAGTTCTGTTAATTTTGGGCAGCTGTGGCGTAAACCCGAGTGGCAGTCCATTTAAAGTTGATAAGACTTGTACATAACGATACAGACAGATGAAAATATGTGCCTACTTGACAAAGAGTGACCAAACCAAAACTAATCTGGGCCGAACATTTGGGGAAAGTTGTTTTCATGTAAAACACACGCAACTAAGTATTATTTTATGAAATGTTTTCTTGTACAAAACAATTTCTATCACACAGCAACATCGGGCCACTGACAGGATTGAATAGCAGAACAGGCTGTTTACTTGAGTTGGAAGGATTCTCAGTAGCTTATTTTGTGTGGGGTTGGCATTAAAAAAAAAGATCCTGGTCACCAAAACAGTCAAGTTTTAAAGTTTAGTGAGATGAGTCACTTGAGATGTTATCATCTATGTCAGTTAACTTTCTTGGGGAAAAAAAGAAAAAAAGGTGTTATGATGCGTGTTGACAACACTGTATGTGACGTTCAAGTCCTTTTTCACGTTACCAAACCCACTACAAGAGGTTTGACGTTAACTGAAGCATGATTGAAAAGTGTTTCTTCAGTGTCTTGTCAAATCTTTGCACATTGCGGGGTCTGTTCCAAGTCAAAGCAGACAAAGTTACCAAGTCAAATGTTTGCAAGGTCACATATGGCATCCAAAAGGATACAGCATGTGATGCACAGTATGACGTGTCTTTTACAAACATTCTGGGATTTATACCACGTTGTGTATTTATGAAAAGTCCGTTCAACCATTTACGTATCGTGAAAATAGGATCGCATTAAAAAGGGAGTGATTGTTTGGAATAAACCATAAACATTTATTGTGCTACACCATTCATGAGTCACCTGACTTAAAGAACACTTTTCGTTTTTTTTCCTTTTATAAAGATCACCACCCAAAGTCCGTAAGTGTTACGATAAGGACTAAATAATAATGTGAATATGTTGACATAACGGAAGCAATATTACACGTTATTTATTTATTTATTTATTTTGTGGTAATGATCCGACCCCTTCTTTTTTGATCAGATGTGCTACAACTCCATATTAGATGAAGAGCACAATTTTTGTCCCCTGTGTGAGATTGTTGCATTCGATGCATCTAAAATGACAGCACAATTTGTAATTTTAACATGATTATCAGTTATCTTTTTTTCATACAAGGGAAAAGGAGGCCAAGTTTGATTAATGATTCAGAATCGAATACATATCCTCTCAACATTCAACTTCCTGTGTTCAGCAGAAAAGCTGCTATTTAAAGCGGCGCGGCTATTATTTTTTACATTTGTACCAGTGTATTTCCCTGCAGGTGCTTTGTGGTGACTGAAAAGACATAACAGACATGCATGATATCATTGCGGTTCATTTCAATATTCAGCTGTCAATTTTCCTTATTTATTTTACTGAAATAAAAGATGTAATTACTAGCTTTGTGCTTTCCATTGTTTGGTTTGCTGCAAGATTTCAGAAATCTTTTTGATGAAGGGAAGGTGTATGTTTATTTTGTTCTTTTTATGTAAGAGGGTGCAGCCAGTCCTCCAGAACACCACGTTGGCATTTTGTCACTGAGCACATGGTGCCATCTAGAGGGAGAAACTGCTAATGTGTTTTGGATTTTTTTTTTAGCATGATTGCCAATGTACACGATGACCAAAGCAAACGGCACAAATGAAGTTGAAGTACAAGAAATATAACATAATAGAACATTTGTTGACATACAGTATTATTCAATCCAAATGTCGCCCCTGTGAGATGGGCATCACTTCCTTTGGACACGACGTTACTCAAAATCCAAATGCGATGAAGTAAAGCTTACTTAAATTTACCATTGTGAAGCCTGGCTACACAATCAACACGTACCTGTACATTATAAACACAAAATCGAAACACTGTAAATGTGACTAAACCAATGTAATGTAAGCCTGCAATAACGTTAACAATGATCTATTGATCAAACTAATCGATTACATCCGTATGTTGTGTGAGAGAATGGCAGGTAAGTACCCTAAATAGGACACCTTTCCTATTTAAAAATGTATTACATACACAAAACTGCACTCGCACAATTCGATTGGAAAGTAAAGGGTGTAGCAAAAAAGGCAGGAATGAGCTGTGGAACAGTCTATTTCTTTCCACGGCAATGGGCGTTGACCACCATGTAGCTGTCAGGTGACATGTTCGAATTGAGAGGCTTGACTTTGTCCCGACAGCCCCGGATTTCAGTTCTGCTCGCTGGTCTTCCTCTGCAGGGGTCGTGCTTCTGGAGGTAGCTCAAAAAAGTCTCCCAGCCTCCACCCACACGCACCATCACGTGACGCTCATTCAGCATCTGCGCCAAAAAAAAAAAAAAGCCACACAGGGAATGTATTTTTGCCACAATGTTTACGGATTAGCAATTAAATAAAAATAACACACACACACACACACACACACACACACACACACACACACACACACACACACACACGCGCGCGCTAATCTAATATTTACAAGCTTGCCTTGCATATGAAGTTGTTGCCATGAAAGTCAAATGATCTCTCAGTAGCTTTGTCAAAATCTCATTAAACCAAATGAAAGAGCACCTCGTGCCACCAGCTGAGCTCCCCCATGACAGACTAATCCATATATGAGCATGCATGCGCACAGGAGCAGTGACGCACAAAGCTTCATCCGCACACAAAACACGTAACGTGCACGACTTGTCAATAAAAAAAGCATACAGCCTTGATGCACGCGAACAGCTGTTGCAGAAAGGGCCGCTGTCTCGGATTCAAGACATCCTTCACAGGCAAGGAGCCTTAGCGATGAAAACCAGCTGCTGCCATGGCAACTACAGCCACAATACGAAAGCAGGGCAAAAAATTAAAGCGGGATTGAGATGAATCCATTGCACACCCACAACTCCCAGGAGACATTGACATTCCCAGGAGGCCTCGCAAAGCGGGCTATTGTCCTGTCAGCACTGCCCCCCCCCTTCTTGGTTTATCGCCAATAAACCCTTCATTAAGGAAGCATTAAGAATGTGATCACACAAGCAGATATGCCCCCCACCACCCCTCCTTCCCTCATGTTTCAAGACGCATGACACACGTATTGGATGAAAAATCAATGGCACATGCTCAGACTTAAGCAGCGTGGATGGAAACGCCGAGACGCGGTCTATCTCATCTGACATCCTCCAGATTAAAATGTTAAGGTTGACAGGGGTCAAGCCTGACATTCTCCGTGAACCGTTTTCCTGATTTACAGCCACAGGATGTTATCTACATTGCTGTTCTTTCACTGCCCAATTGTTGCCTTTTTTGTTCATTCATAATTAAATGTACTACATATGATTTTTTAAATGGTTGCATTGTTAATTGGCTGTGTATTCTTCAATTATTCTTTTAAAACTAGACCGATAAGAAACCGTAAAACACAGGTGTCAACTCCGGTATTCCACATCTTTTAGATGTTTCCCTCCTCCAAAACACCCGATTTGATTTTTGTCAGACTCTTCCAGAGCTTGCTGACTGGAGTTTTACACCTGTGCTTTGAATAAAACATGTAAACCACAGGTGTCAAAGTCAAGGCCCGGGGGCCAGATCTGGCCCGCCACATCATGTTATGTGGCCCGCAAAAGCAAATCAAGCATGTCAAGTTCCATGATGCTTGCTGAAGTCTGAACCAAAATTTCAAATTGTCATATGTAATCCACAATAACAGTTATTATTCTTGACTTCTGATTTTAAAACTAGTTATTCATCAATTTGTTGTGCGCTGCGTATTTAATATGTGGAGGTGATTAAACATTTGTATGGTTTCCCAAGGCAAAGCGTAACTTCATTGTGGCCCGCACAAAAATGAGTTTGACGCCCCTGATGTAAACCATAACGTGTGAAGCACTGTTGTCAAACTCATTGTGGTTAAGACCCTTATGGCTAAAACCATGTAAAAAATAACAATAAATAAATAAATAAGTGTAATAGCCTCATCATGATATTACATATCCACTTTGTTCTTGGGGGCTCTGATGTAGAAGCAATTATGGGCGTGACTTCCTGTAAGACAGCGAAAGTTGCAATGAGCCATTTGTTTCATTAGCTTTCGTTTCCTGGAGTGGTTTATTTGAACATCACTTTTCACTTGTTGTCCGATATAATTTGGGATACCCCGGCGATGATTTGTGTGTGCAGTTGTAGATGCTTGTTTACCTGAATAAACTCATGTGAATTAACTGAATTGGAGGTGCGTCACAATATGCAAGTCGCAAATAAGTTTCAAGTCTTAACCTTCAAGTTTAAAGCAAGCAGCTTTTCTTTTCTCTCCTGTCTGACTGAGATGATCCAAGAATTCAAACAACCTTTCGTCCATGTATGCATGGACGAAAGGTTGTTTGAATTCTTTGAATTCACTTCAAAAGTGGCGGCAACCTGACTGAAATAAATACAGCAAGCACACACGTTGTCAATCGTTGGGGGAAAAAAAATCCTTTTCATGCTCCAGACTTCATCAACAATAGTCGCCATCTCGTTATGGGGATCAGTTTGAAAACGTGGACTCAAACTCATTTTTTATCAGTGCTGTCGTTTCCTATATTCTAAAGGAAACACTTATTGAGATTTCTCCTTGACCAGATGTCGTTTTCCACCGAGGTTAACGAAAGCTGCTCTCAAAAGGAAAACGATTTGACTTCCCCTGGAGGCCCTATTACAGTATATTTTTTCCCCTGATTTTGTGGCGGCCCCTGGAGGTCATGATGCTCTTAGCATTTGACTATGTTGCCCAATGGGCAAGCCAGCTCTGCGTTTGTGAATTTCTGTGACCAAACAATGTTTCTTCTGAATCTATAGATATCTGGATGTAATATGGTTCACTTTTTTTTAACTGTAGCTGATTTATGAATAGATGTTACCTAAGTAGAAAAAAATGATTTGTTTGGGGAGGGCGGATATGTTTCGAATGTTCACACAGGCAGCTTTACTTGTGAGTCAGCAATAAAGCCCCTTCCCCCTACACATCCCCCTACACAGTCTGCTAAGACTGCATCCTATAAAGCATCTTCTGCATTCCCCAGAGTCCTCCCTGTTCGGCCCACTGACTCATCTTATCCTGCTGAAAAATTAATGCGGGCCTCACGTGACGAGTAGGATTGAAACAACTGCCAGTAGGAGTCAGACTTGAGCCAAACCCACAGCTTCTGAGACTAAGGGGGAACACTGGGCCCCTAATTTTGTTTTTATTCTCTACCCCTAAACACACACACACACAATTTTGCTGCTGTAGACTGCAAATTTCCCCAATGGGGGACAAATAATGGTTATCTTATCTTATCTTATCTTATCTTAATAACATTTACAGTCATAGAAATGATCCATTGGCGGGCATCTCATCATGATTGGACAAATCATCACGTGAAAATAAAACAGGACTTCGAATTTTGAAGTTTTCCTTCAGTGCCACCTTGAGGGTGACAATTGTGGCCTTGGAGCCGACGTGAAATATAAAAGTCGAGTTCTCCTCGAGGTGATATTTAGTTTTGACGGCCTTCGCCTCTCATCTTGAGAGAGTCTGATCAAATTGTTGCAAAGAATGTATAACAGCCAAGCTAATTTGTGTGGATCATATTTGAATAGATGTTTATTGTTTCACCTACACCATTACCATATCTAATA